AGCTGAAGCTGATACCTCGACTACATTCGAGAACCAGCTAGATGAGATCTGGGTTCAGTCAGCCCAGATGTGCCAGACCTCTGTGCCAAATGGCCTCTGCTCATCTTCTTGATGTTCTTGTACCAGTAAACGGCACCGGCCCACACAGCACGCGCAGCTCCGGGTCCCAGCCCTGTAGTGTTTGCTGGGATGGCACGCCGGGTCCCGCTCATTCAGAACCTGATCGTTCAGACCCTGACGGAATCATGGGCCCGGGTTCATTTAATTGCCCTCCCCCGTGTCCCGGAGAGGCTAACGTTGCTGGCTCAGGGGGAGGGGCACAGGGTCAGGCTCACTCCCCAAGAGGAATCTACGGGTCTGTGACCCGGAGGGGGGCGTGCGTGTGTGTGACGGAGACAAGGCGAGAGTTTCAGACAATCGGAAAGAGAGCGAGCTGGCATGCATTTTCAATCTCTTCAGATTGCTCTTCGGCAGGAGCATTAAATGATGGATCACGCCGAGCCTCAGCTAGGCCCAGACTCTCTGAGCAGACAGCGCATCCGACAATCACTACCTGCTCCTTCAGGAGCTACTGCCACTCCCCACCTACCAACAGCAAAGTCTACCATTCACCGCAGAAATCTACAGTTTCACTTTACCACTCTGACCTTTTCCTACCGGAAATTAGGCTTCTGAAATGCTCAAGGCAGGCATATTTCCTCATAAACCTCTGGGGCCAGTGGGCTGTGTTAAACACATCAGCAGAGCTCTCAAAATAAAGGATCGTGTGCTCAATGGGCTCAAAAGGCTAGCAATCCAGAAGCCAGGACCACAGACACACCTACTGAGCACGATCCATCGACAAACCCCTCTGTACGATGCCGTAGTCCAAGGCACCGCACCCCGAAACCCTGGGTGGAAACAGGAGCCAAAATGGCTGCTGATCCAGGAGGGAAAGCAGCCCTGTTGCCTGGTCAGGCAGGAGTTAACAGGAAACTGTGCAGCTGGGGCGAAGTAAACAGACTGCGGCCAGGCGCTCTCAGACATGCCTGTATAAGGCTGTGCTCAGCGACACGCCGACGGGCTGAGTCATGCCCCACAAGGCACGCCCCCTCCGTCTCTCCCCCTGTGCGACTGCTCCCTCAGGAGCTCTCTGTACCTGCGCCTCCCGTCTCTCTTCTTCAGGCCCAGGCCCAGCCCCGCCTGCCCCTCTCCTCCCTCCCACACCCCGTCTCCCTGCCAGCCCTGGCTCGCTCCGCTCTACCTGCCCCCCCCTCCACTCCCTCCGAGTCTCCAGCCCCACCTCCCACTGCAGCCCTCTCCTCTCCCCACCAAACCGCTCAAAACCTACAATCACCAGCCTGCCTTCGGCTCACAGTCTGGGGTGTTTGTGCCTGCTCCTTTTTGTGCTCAGTGTTGTTTGGCAGTCTGCTGAGCTGGCTTGCGTCAGCTTGGCAGAGCGTCTCGCGCTTTTACTTACTGCAAACTTTTTTCCCTTAAAACAAGAAACCCTTCATGTGAATTATCTGTGCTTGTACTAGGGCTATCCTATCGGCAGCCTGCAGGCCTCGCCTCCCCCGATGCGGTCCAGAGGACACTGACAGTGAGAGGGATGTGGTCAGGGTAAACAGGAACACTGCTCTAGCCACTGATATTAACAAATGAAAAAAAAAAAGTTTTGAAGTCGGCCCGAACATAACTGTCAAAAAGTAGACGAGTGCAAGTACAGCTGCTGTTAATACATTTACCATCTTAAAGCGAGACTGT